TGGCTCAAATCTACATCAAGGAAATTGTGACTAGACATGGTGTAGCATTATCCATTATATCTGACAGGGATAGTCGCTTCACTTCAAAGTTCTAAGAAAGTTTACAAAAAGCCTTGGGATCGCAAATCAGATTAAGTACGACTTACCACCCATAAACGGACGGACAAAGTGAAAGAACCATCTAGACTCTCGAAGACATGTTGAGAACTTGTGTCATCGACTTCGGGGGATCATGAGAGGAACATTTGCCATTGATAGAGTTTGCCTACAATAACAGCTATCATTCTAGCATTCAAGCGGCACCTTACGAAGTCTTGTATGGAAGAAAATGTCGAACGCCGTTGTGTTGGAATGAGGTAGGTGAAAAGCAGTTGACAGGTCCTGAAATTGTGCAAACAACTTCTGACAAGATTGAACAAATTCGTGCAAGAATTAAGACTGCCCAAGATCGTCAGAAAAGCTATGCCGACAAACAAAGAAAGCCGATTGAATTCAACATAGGCGACTTTGTAATGTTAAAGGTATCTCCATGGAAGGGTGTTATGAGATTTGGGGAAGAAAGGAAAACTTATTCCGAGGTATATTGGACCGTTCAGAATCTGCAAAAAGGTTGGACCGGTAGCTTATCAGTTGGAATTACCAGAAGAACTCAGTCAGATTCACAGTACCTTTCATGTACCGAATCTATGGAAATGTTTGGCAGACCCAAGTCTAGCAGTACCATTTCCTGAGATCAAACTCGACAATAAGTTGAATTTCATCAAGACACCAGAGGCAATAACTGACAGAAAGACCAGGATATTGAGATATAAAGAGATCAGTCTAGTAAAGGTACAGTGGCGTTTTCATAAGGGTTCAGAAGCAACATGGGAACTAGAATCTGGTATGAGAACCCAATATCCATAGTTATTTGAATGAATTATATGATGGAATTCTTTTAAGGGGGGAAGAATGTTATAATCGGGTTTCTGACAACCTGGATTGAGGTAATTTATACGTGGTTATTATATGGATTACGTGAAATATGCATATCTGATTTAGAAATGCATAAACCATATATGTGGAATGTGAATATAATATTGTGCATGCATATGAAAAGGTATATGATGCATACATGATTTATATGTGCATATATGAGGTATGAAGCATGCATGAGAATTTATATATATGGAATATCTTCATAATGAAGCAAGAGTGATTTTAAAATATTATCTTCCATCGTCTAAGGGTTATAATCATAAAATAACCCTACCGCCTTAACTAAGTGGTATAAAAAAGAAAGAGATAAGGTAAAAACCTTATTTGATCTTTCTGTTTTTAGAAAAAGAAATATTTTGAGAGAGAAAAGAGCTTGAGGCGGTAAAAGTGTTCTTGAAGAAGAATCTGTGTGCAGTTGAATTGTTGTTTATTTTAATTTGAAGAATCTATGTTGTCAAGGTGAGTTTTAAACTGCTGTTGATTATAAATTGTGAGTTTTGATGTCTTAAAATCTTTATATTTGTGATAAAACAAACTGCTGGGTTTTATGTTGGTTTTGAAGAAAAAGATGATAAAACTATTCTTGACAGTTTAAAAGTATTATGGTTATAAATTTGAGTATAGAAAACTGTTTTGGAAAGATAAAGAAGAGATTGCTTCTTTAAAACCGTTTTGGGATTGATATCCTGTTTTGATGATTTAAAAGGGGGTTTTGATGTTTTGTGAAACCATTTAAAGAACATATTGTTCTTGAGTATTAAAGTTTTGATGATAAAATTGTTTTGAAAACCATTACTGGTTGAAAACTATGGAGGACGTCTCATCAAGATTTGTTGTGACTTTGGTCTGTCTTTGTTTGGGTTTAATCTATAAATGTTGTGATTAAAACTATGAATGAGGATTCGATAAGATGGTTGTGACTGCGATCCTTCATCCGAACTAGTTCATAGATTTTGATGAAGGAATAAGGTGGCATATCAAGGAGAGGTGTCTTTTGGGATAAGGGTGGCATATCAAGGAGAGGTGTACATTTGGTTATAAGGGTGGCAATTGTGTATGGATACTATAGCTCTTGTTATTATGTCTTTTAAGATTACAATAGATTTGAGTCCTTACTTCTTTGTGATTTAAGAACTCAAAGATGTTGCTCTTATTAGAAATAATAGTATTGATGTTATTGAAAAGGGAAAAACTTGGCCTATGTCCATTGGTTTTTGTTAAAAGTGTTTTGGAACAGAAGGGTCATTTTATGAGGAACCAGAGAGGCTCTGGTTGGCCCTCCTTATAGAACCAGAGGGTTCTGGTTATTGATTGGAGAAAATATACAAGTTCTTACTAAATGTATTAGTTGGGCCAGAGGCTCTATGTTTATTGATAAGAGCTTCTGTGTCAAAATTGTATTTTAAGAAGTTTTTAAGAAAAAGGATTTTATACTTAGAATCTTTTTATGAAAAACAGACCAGAGGGGCTCTGGTTGGCTAGCATGTTAAACCAGAGGCTCTGGTTGGTCTTCTCTTTTGAACCAGAAGCTCTGGTTAGTGCAACCAGAAGCTCTGGTTATACATAAACTCTTTTTAATCATTTTAAGTTATAGAAAAAGCTATTTTTATTACTTACAAAGTTGGTCAAGGAACATTATGAGAAATTACCTTAGCAAGAGGCTCTGGTTAGTACAACCAGAGGCTATGGTCAAGGAAGCAGAGGGCCTCTGGTCTTATCATGAGTTGAAATATTTTCTAAGTGTGGTCTTTGGAACCAGAGGTCCGATGGACTCAAACAGAATGTGCTTTCATTCCTTGTTAAGTGAAACGGTTTAAATGATTTGGTGATTTTCACCCTGCATTACATAAAAAGGGAACCTCACTAGACATTAATGTCTAACCCTCATTTTGTGTTTACAAATATATGTGCAGGTAATGATAATAAGGGAAAGAACATTCTATGATAGTTTCCCTATGTGCTTAGATTTATGAAGATCATATTAGAATGAGTTTTGGAGAATGGATATTATGCAAGAGCATGTATTTTGAAAATTTCAAGTTGTGTATTTTGTATTATAGACTTATATATTATGGACCAATGTGGGGAAAACATGTATTCTTCGTATGAATTATGTGTTATATGCAATGTATGATTTGGGGGTGTTACAGGAGGATCACGGGATAAGGTATGGGATGTCTCGGAGAGCGATTATAGAGACTATGAGGACTCTAATCAAGTTCAGAGCAAAGAATGATTTTCCAATAGCGCTGGAGCTCGACATTGAAATACTTTCCTGCACAGCTCTGAATGAAGACTTTCCTGGACAGCAGGAGAAATGCTCTGCCCCTATCTTAACTTAACTAGAATTGGGCTTAGTTTTCAAGAACGAATATGGCACCAAGAAGTTCTTCCGATTGAGTGAGGCCTTCAAGTATTCAACCGATACACTTGAATGTTTCAAAAGATCATCCAAGAAAGACTAGGCAGAAACTGCGTGCCAAGGAAAGAGGGAACAAAGCTAATTCATGGGGTCTCTACAGTCCTAAGGTACAAAAGACTGATGTTGCGATTTTGGAAAATTTTCAACGAAGACCATGAATGACATGTAACTTTTCTATTCCTTTTTACTTTCGTATTGTATGAAACAATCCGATCAATGAAAATGAAAAACTTTTGACAAAAAGGATGTTTCTTTTAGCATGGCTTATTGTACATAGATAGCTATTTGTTTGTTGTTCATAGATAGCTATTTTTTATTTTTCATTACTTAGGGGGAGATTGTTAAACCCCATAACTTGCATCTGTAAAAATAATGAAAAATGTACCAAGTATGGAAGTCTGGAGACCCAATGGAAATCCAGAAGAAGGAGCTGAAAAGATTCTAAGTGTTGAAGACAAAAGATGTAATGAAGATACAAAGAGGCTATGAAGACCTGAAATACTTAGTCTGATAATCATCCACTTATGAAGAGTTCATCAGGTCGATGAACTTAGCCTCTCCATAACCCCCTCTGGTTTTGCAGCAAACCGAAAAATCTCCAAGTGTCAAATATAGTTCGATCAGATCTATTTTAGCAAGCAGATACATGAAGAATCCTGATTGGACACGCTACCTGAAGACAGCTGGACATGACTCATCGCCAACATGAATTATGTTATTCTAGGTAGTTAGAGATAACCTCCATCTTTCTAGATAGATATCTTATCCTTGTTTATCTCATAGATATCCTATACTAGATAGTTATCTCTTAGACTAAATTGCAGTATAAATAACATTCATATGTCTTGTAATTAATTGATACCTTCTCATTATTGTTATTATAGTGAAATTATTTGAAAGCTTCATACATTATTGAATATCGTTTAAGCTGTTCATCACTTTCTTCATCCAAACGATAGATTTTAGTTGTTACAATTAAATGTTCGTGTTAAATTAAGAGATCTGAGATCAACAGTATCATTATAAATTGAATATTTGGAACCGACATTAAAACAATCGAAACTTTTGTACCGAATTGAAAAATAGTCCTTCCTAAAATTACTTTAGAAAAACACTTTTATACTAATTAATAAATATTTTAATTCTAATATCTAATTAAAAAAATAAAAAACTTTACGATCTCGTTTACCCAAACACATACCCGATAGGTAATTATCAATAAGATTTAATCTTACATTCACCTTATTAGGTAAAATTTTAATCCATCAAAATGGTATCGTATGCAACTATTTACCTAGCAAGTGTTAACTGGGTAAGAGTCGTCATTTTCACCTATTGGGTAATATTCTCGATTATTGCCATTGATTTACCGTATAAGATTCTCGACTTTTAGCATGCACTCATTTGATAAGGTATTGTGGCTTGATAAACGCTTTGCAGGTAAGCTTTAAGTAAACGGCCCGTTAGTAATTTTTTGATTTGTTTTGATGTCAAGGTCTTAACTGAAACTTGGATAAAAGATGAGGGGTTTTTCTTCAATTCACCCAAAAGAAATAAAGCTTTCCGTCGCATTATCCCTTTTCCGTTTCCCTGCTCCATTTCTATCTCCTTCACCATGGAAAGTGTTGTGCAGAGCTTGGTATCACCTCCTGACCACCGGCTCCGATCACAATACTTCCCACCAATGAGAACTACAACAGTCTCACCATCACCTATCGCATATAGAAGCCTGCCATCCTCCCTTTGCTACGGAGAGAAGCCCACCGTAGCTGCTGCTTTCCCTTGTTCAAATTCATTCTTCCCTTTGTCTACATCTATATCACTACCTTCTTCTTGTTGTTTGAAAGGTAACGTAATTGGGTTTTTATATTGGAGGAAAAACTTGTGTGGGTAACTGCTTTGAGTTAAGGTTCTCAAATCTTTTTAGAGGGACTGCGTTTAATTGTTTGTTTGCCTTTTTGAGTTGAGTTCTTCATATTTTATGCTCTTCAATTGGCGTGTATACGTACGCTCATGACATTTTACTTATTATTCTTATGTGTTCGTCTTTGCAAGTCATTGATTTTGGTCGACATAATTCTCCCTATTTTTTTAACTATAGAAGTGTATCTTGGATATCAAAAAGATTCCATCGATGCAATAGACCAGAAAATCTGAAAGGGCTGAGAAATATACAAGTTGTTGTAAATTTTATTTAGGCAAAATTTTGTTAGTTATAAGCTTAGGGTTAAAATTTTAAACATTAGAAATAGGAGGGGTGACCTCAAGGAAGGAATATGATTGTGTGTACAAAACTTGCATCAATAATTATTTGTACTTATATAAGGTTTAATGTGGTCAACTGGTCATGAACTATTTTTCCAAATTTTAGTTTGTTGATGGTTGTTTGTGAGTTAATTATTAGTCTGTCTAACCATAAAAATCGTTGAGCGTCCGGAGTATGATGATAGGAACTTGAGGGTATTTTATGCTTGTGATTGTAGTTGAATGGTTCGTGGATTTCCCATAATTTTGTTCCTAATATCGTGGAGAAATGCAACTCTGGATTTGAGTCACAAAGGCTTTCAAAGGCAAGGAGAAGTTGCAACACTAATTGGCACACTTACAAGATTGTTACGCAAACTAATAGACTGAAGTACTGAAGTATTTCCGTCACTTGATTGAAGGATTCAGTTATTGATCTTTTGTGTTTGATCAGGTCTTTTGTGAAGTTATAGTACACCATTATAGGAATGTAGTTTGGCACAAAACAATGGTAGACACTAGGTAGAGAATTAGAAGTTTCAAATGAGGAGTTGTAAACTGGGGAGAGAAATGTCGGTGTTTGGATGGAGCCCAAACAAATTTTATATTATGAGAACAGTACATACATGCATAAGTATATATACATACATATATGCATCTGTACATTTATTCAAATTTGTATTATATGCATCTATATATACATATGACATGCATATGCATACTATGCATTTGCATAGTGCAATTATAGGATTGTATATTTGCAGTATGAGCATTGGTGTAGAAAATAAATTCCAGTGACCTCTTCACAACAGCAAATTATGCATAAATAAATACATATATGCATTCATATCATGAATTGTGCAATTGGAAGCTTCTATATTTTCTTCCCATATGAACAATGGCGTGCAAGATATACCCGGGTTTCATGATGACAAACTATAAGCTTCTCTGTCATGGGCTTTTGTGTCTAGTATTATTGCTAAAATGTTAGGATGTTTTCAACATTGTGTGGAGCAATAGTCCCTTTCGTCTCTCAGGTTGCTAACTAAAAAACATTTTGTGTGCCATTTGATCCGTCCTATTGAGGCATTTTTTTTCTTCAAATTCTAATCCTATTGTTTCTTTCCTGCATTACCTTTCATATCCTTCACTCGCTGTATGCCACTTTTCATCAGTATATTCGAAGTCCCATGTTGAATAACAACCAAATCATTTCAACTTGTGTTCCATGTTTTCTTCTGACTTGCTGCAACAGAGCTTGTTTTCAGTATCTTGATCGCTAATCCTATCTTAGTATGAATCATTCACATGTGAAGACCCTATTCCATCTACACTCAAGATAAGATGTTTCTTGATCACCCAATATCCACACACTTCTACTGTCATACCCATAGCTTCACAGATTGGATGACAATTTGATTAGTTAAAAGTTGGTTTCTGGCCTACTGTGGATGACTATGTGCTTCATGTAACTGGATGATATGCTGGCATTTTGCCACTTATGCGAGGGAAAAAGAAACTATGGTGAACATTTTTTGCCAGTTCTATAGTGTCAAACATTTGTTTCTTATGTTCTATTTTCCCCTAATTTTTCATGATTCTTGTGTGGATATAATTTCATAAAGAAAGGTGTGTGAACCTCAGAGAGTCCAGGTTTCATTTCAAACTAGCCTCCTGGACCGAACCTTCCTTAATAGGCTATAACAATCAGAAGGAATACTAGCTATATGCTTAACATGGCTGTGCTGTTCAAAATTGTTTTGTTTGGTTGCTAATTGTGTTCCTATTTGGTTGGCATTCGGGATTAGTTCAGCTTTGTACGCAACACCAGATGCAGGAGTGAGCAGTGAAACAAGTGTATGGGCAATGCAAGGTAATGGTATAGATATTATTGCTACTTGCATTAGTCATTTATAGTGCACAAGTAAACCATTTATTTATGAACATCACTCAAATATCACAAGGTGTACATGTGAACATGAAACTATTTATTTGAATGAGCATCATCTGTACATTGTGTTGATGGTTAAATTTTGCTGACAGATTTCTATACTTTAAGGAAGGAAGTTGAGGCTACCTCCCAGCGTGTCGAAGACATTAGGGCTTCTGCTGGTTTGGAGCAATTAGGAGAAGAACTAGCAAAGTTAGAGACTGCAGCAGCAAGTGATTCTTTCTGGGATGATCGTACATCAGCTCAACAAACACTTATGGCTCTCACAGATGTCAAAGACAAGATAAATCTTCTCAAGGACTTTCAAGCCCAGGTTTGAATCTCTCATACGCTATTAAAGCATAATGTTTATTTTGCAAAAGGCAATTGTTAAATAAGATTATATCCACCCCCTCCCCCCAAAACTCCCACGAGCGTGGTGATAATAACGTTCATATAATCTCTTTTTCTAAGTCCAGATGCACACGTGAGCTACGGATCCAAAATTTAACTTAAATTTGTTTGGAATCTGGTGACATTCTGGACACAATGATTGAGGACCGAGTTCCCCCTATCACTTCCTCCGAGGAATATGGGTGATAGAGAAGTAACCCAAAGGACTTAGTTCTCTATGCTTTCATGTATATTTTACTTTCATGTTCCCCAAATGCTTGGATTCATCATAAGCAAAGTCATCAACTGTCATGAGTTTCATAAGACTGTTGAAACATGAGAAGCAATATGCCAATGAGATTAGCATACATCTGGATCAAGGATGTTAAAATTAGACGTGTGATTACTTAATGGTAATTAATAGAGATGCGACAATCCCGTTTTCTGCAAATATTATGTTTATTTACATGGGCAAGCCTCGGAGTAACCAATAGGGTTACTCTTTATATGGTAGTGATGAAAAGATCATACAATTGAGTCATGAAAACATATTTGGAAATTTCCAGGTATATTGCACATTCATATGAACATGAAAGCGTGAAATAAAGACAAAAGAAATATAACTAACATGAACATATTAAAATAGTTGATAACAAAACTGAAGATAGTAGTAAAATAAATACTCGATCCACTCCATGGTAATGCCAAAAATTCTTGTTTTGGCATGTCCCAAATTAATTGCAACATTTCCTTATTTTGCTTACTTTTAAGCTAAAATATTCTATTTGCTCCCATTGCCATCATTACAAAGATTTTTTTTCTCTTTGATTTTAGCTCACCAGCTTAGCTTTGATTCGAAAACCATGTTATTATGAAAGATTGGAAAATAGATGTAAAACATGAGACATGAGTTGGATGTACATTTAGCCATAGATTGCTAGCTGAGTGAGCAGACAGGCAGCTTCCTTTCTCCAGTTCTTGTATAGTACTCGCACCAAACATCCAGGATACAGAGGCCTCCTGTAACCGATGGTGTGGAAATTATGGCTGTTCCAATTTGGTTGTCTTTTTGTTTCTTCAAAAATGATGGCTCAGTTTTTGGCTTCATGACTACATCATTATTATTTTTTGGGTTTAAATTTTATATAGCATGCTTTACATTATTAGTATAATTTATATTCTAAATAAAATTCTTGGTACTATCAACAAAACAAAATAAGCAAAACTAATATCAGTCTCTTGATAATAAAAAATAAAAAAATATAACTAAAACTACGAAACTCAAGTCCTCAACCACAAAAGAGCATTTGAATGGAGATTATTGCCGACTTGAATGACTTCAATTTTGATAGGAAATTTGTAAGTGTCTGATTTATAATATCAAACCCAAGGCACCTGCCTAATCCTGAGACTAGAGATGGGCAAAGTGGTCCCTGTTTTAGCTGGTTACCAATTAAACATCTTAAATAGTAACCGGTTATGTTTGCCTATATGTAGCTTCTATAGTCTTACATTCATTTCGCTTTTGTTTTTCTATTTCCAGGGTGTTTTACATGTATATCTATGTGTGTACATGGTCAAGCTTGCCTTCATGCTCTTCATGTTCCTATTGTTCCCCTAAAACCTAAAAGGAGACTTAGGCCTGCAACACTTACGAGGAAATCTAACCATATACCTTCATTTACACATCAATCAAACTATTTTAGACCTCTCGTCCTAAGAACTAAATCCACTTCCAAAAAACTAGAAATCAGATTTGTAGTTACATGAATCAATTTCAATTAAGATTTACATGATCAAATTAGATAAATATTAGTAGGTCCATTCTTTTTGCGTGTTTTCACATCTGTACAGTTATTTTTCATGTCTAACAGATTAACAGAGCATGGTCCTGGGGATTGGATCCATATGATAAACGATGTAGTATCCTATAAATCGCATATACTACTTCACCATAACCTTTAAGCTCCTCATAAGTTTGACAACTAAAATTTGGAAGTTGATCTATATTTATTGTTGCATGGTTTTGAGTTTGGAGCTAATGTTTGAATTTCATGTTCACTGACATGGTACATCTATATGATTGATTCCTTCAGATTGACGATGCAGAGACTATAGTTAACCTTACAGAAGAGATGGACTCCACTGATACTGCACTTCTTGAAGAGGCTGCCAACATTGTAAAAGAACTAAATAAAGCGTTAGATAAATTTGAGCTAAGTCAGCTTCTTTCAGGCCCCTACGACAAGGAAGGTGCTGTTATCAATATAACAGCTGGTGCTGGAGGTACTGATGCACAGGTAAAGTCTGACATCACTTATTCTTTCATTCAAAAAATCACATTACCAGGGAATCTAAGACATGGATTCTTTAATCTTTATATCCTACACCATGTAGTCAAAGCATTTAATCATATGATAAGGGATTGGAGCCTGTATGACATTTAGGGGCTTGCAAAGATACCACTTTGTTGCATTAACCAGAATGATATAATATATAATACAGAATAAGTCAGTCTAATCTGTCTCTGTGATATTATCACTTTAGTTATAATACCATTGCATTGACAATTTAACTAAAAGTGATTCAAGTTTCTGAAATTGCAGTACGTTTTGCAATGCCTGATTGCCTGGGAGATATCACAGAGAGAGCTTGACTTATTCTGTTATTCAGTGCTCTGTTTTCAGCAACTGAAATCACAGAGACAAATTCACTGAGTTATTACTTACGTACTCAGTAGCCAAAAAAATTGATTCAAGAAAGTGATTCAATGCCAACTTAAATTGCTATGACATCCAATAAAGTGATTCAAGTTTCTTGATGAAAACACCCAACCAAGAACTCACATAACAATCTCAAAGTTTCATAAACCAAAACATAAACTGAAAATCAAAACCCTAAGTCCCTAACCTGTGGGCTTGAACTCAATGGATTATTTCTATATTATTATTTTCTTTAAAAGCCAGGAGGTGCCCAGGCCCCTTCTGGCTCTGTAGTCGCTCCGTCCCTGCACCCCTACTCGATCCCTTATGAAGCTGTCTGCAAAGAAGTTCTGGTTGAGAGAAAGGTTTCTTGAGATACCCCAAGACTTTAAACCAACCCCTCTAGAGAGAAATAGGTACAATGAAAGAGTTATAAAACCAAATATTTTTGTATTAAATTTGATTTATTTTACATTTCTTGATATTAAATAGGTAATCTAGTATCCTTATGCATGAAGATAATGTGGTCGGACTACTCATCAAATTGTCTTCTGAAAGCCAATGATGCAATTGTTTGGGATCATGTATGAGGTTTACCTCACAAAGCTCTAGCCAACACTTTTTCCACAAGCTTTTGCCATTTCAATTCTTGAACTCCTTTGATCTATCTTGCTATCAAAACGTCTTCAGCCGACCTGTCTTGATTCCTGCAATTGGGCTCTTTGTGGGACTTTGGCATGTAGGTTAATTTAAAACCAAGTGGCGGATAAGATGGTTACAGAAGTCAATCAATATGCATGCACACACACATGCATGAATGCATACATTTATAAAATTTGGACATCTTCAAGTCACATGCTGCGCTGTTGGCTTGTTTATGCGAAATGGTTTGATAATTTGCAGTGCAGGACTGGGCGGATATGCTTCTGAGGATGTACGTAAGATGGGGAGAAAGGCAGCGATACAAAACAAGAGTAGTTGAAAAGTCAATGGGAGAAGAAGCTGGGATCAAGTCTGCTACAATTGAGCTCGAAGGTCGGTATGCATTTGGATATCTATCTGGTGAAAAAGGAACACATCGAATCGTCAGACAATCTCCTTTTAATGCCAAAGGCCTACGTCAGGTAGGTAACTTCTGTTCAATCACTTTTTGGTGTTGGTATTCTCCTAAATGCATGTAATGTTTGTTAACTATTAATAAAATGTCCAAAATACCCTCCAATATTAACAGTCTTTAGTTTTCTTGTGGTTGGAATTTGCAATTAGACGAGCTTTTCTGGTGTTGAAGTAATGCCTCTTCTTCCTGAAGACTCGTTAAATGTGGAAATACCCGAGGAAGACCTGCAAATCGGTTTCTCTAGAGCAGGTGGGAGTGGAGGTCAGAATGTTAATAAGGTTGAAACGGCTGTCCGGATTACACATATTCCTACAGGGGTAACGGTCCGTTGCACGGGTACTGCTATATCTCTCTCTCTCTCTATGTCCACATGTTTTCATCAACTTTGTTAAGCTAGGGGTAATTTAGCTAAATGACCTCCTGAGTGCTTTTTAAATCAATGACCTTCTTACACAGGTTTCTAGGCATTCTTATATATAGAAGTGTCAGTCTTCTGTAAGCAGTGGTATTCTTAAACATGTCAGAATATCATGGATTTAGAAAGAAATAAGTTAGAAGGTTATTTAACCAAATGAACGGCAAGCAAGTTATGCCATGTTGTCTTAGCGACACTCCAAATCCTCAATCCCGTAAAAATTGCAACCATTTTTTTAAGATGTCCCATTGACATTTTCCATTTTGAAAAGTATAAAGATACATTTTTTGTTGGTCATCATCTTTAGATATTAGGCAAATTCTCAAACATTTACCATAACTATATACCAAATCAAGAATTACAACTTTCATGGAGTTATTTCGGAAATAATCTTTTTGACATATTTTTTCTTTCCAAATGCTGATATTCTGGACTGGTTTTAATGCTTTTTTGTGTTAGGAAGATGCATTCTTTTCTTAGGAATAAGTGTTCATAAATCTATGTAAAAAGGTCATGCATTTATATTTATATATATATATATATATATATATATATATATATGTTAGAAGGTTATTCTCCTAAATAACCAAACTTTAGCGTGGAAGAAGTAAATATCATGCTTTTAGCTTTTGAAATCAAACTGATTATTTGTCTACTTCGACATATCTTTTGTCCCATGTCGTTTTTAGGAACTTATATATTAAAATTACTTATTTGTTGGTTATCATAGTAACAAATCAATCGACACCATTGATTTGGGTCCAAAAGATTAGTTGAAGGAATTTAAAGTTTTGCCCGAACATTACTTAAACTGTATGCAAGACAAATGTTACAACTTCAATAAGATATAGGATTCTTGTTTTCAAGAAAACACGAAAACAACATTTTCAGTTTTATAATGTAGTTCCTTTCTGTTCAGAACTAGTACATATGACGAATTATATCCCTGATCATGTATCAATTAACTTGGTTGTTAATTTGTTGCCCATGTTTGCAGAAGAGAGGTCCCAACTTGCAAACAAGATCAAAGCCTTGAGCCGTTTGAAAGCGAAGCTGTTGGTGATAGCGGTAGAGCAACGGGCTTCGGAAATTAAGCAGATACGGGGAGACGCGGTAAAAGCGGATTGGGGACAACAAATTCGGAACTACGTATTCCACCCTTACAAGCTCGTGAAAGACGTAAGAACAGGACATGAAACGACCGATATTGTATCGGTGATGGATGGGGAGTTAGATCCGTTCATTAAAGCTTACTTACGATACAAATACAGCGAATCCATGGCGAATTAGTTGTGTATAATAGCATCAATTCTCTGTTACGAGTGTTGTTATGCAGCGAACAATTTCGTGTAGTACGAGGAGTGGATGCAGGAGAAGGTGTAAAACATGATATGATATATCATTGTGTTCGATTCTTTTCGTCTCTTTCACCTTACTTCAAGGCACCGGCTTATAATTTATATTTTGAGCTTATTGAAAAGTCTTGTTTGGGAAGTCATAATGTCCCGGAGTTGTCTTTACGAGCTCGTGCAGCCAAACTACAAAATACAGAACTAAGAAGAGAAAACACGATGCTAACGAAGGATTGTGAGAAGTATTCTTCTGTAAAATTGAGTGGATTGCCTTTAAATGAGAAATATTCTACTACAAGGAAGTTTCTAGTTATACTAAAGCTAAAGATGCATGGATCCTTCCTAATATATTGGGTTCCGCTTGATCCTTGCACGGCCATTCTTGATCCTTCTCCAATGTTCCATCGCTCTTTTGATTGGTTTAAAATGTCCAAGCTTCTTGAGAAACCTTCGTGCGGGACGTGACAATAATCTAGCACAACTCTATAGATCCAGCTCAAAATCAACAAAACACGGATCCTGCACTACGGTACTCCATCGTCCTACAACTTTCTTTGCCAATGGTCCAGCAAGATCACACAGGATCCGCCTTTAGCCCGTATCTGCCAAAAATCTGTTTTTAAGCCAATTAACATAAAAGTCCAATAAAATACCCAAATTCAATAGCAAGCTCCAAAAGTGATAAAAGTGTAAAATAAAAGACTAAAAGCCTCAAAAATGTTTGGTTTGGGAAAAAAATGGTAGATGAAAGATGAGAAAAGTGGTGCTATAGGGTCAATAAAGTGACACCTATCAGTGCACTACAAAGATAAGATATTGATTGACTGGGTATGGTAACACTTCCTATAGATGAAAGAAGCTTTAAGGCCATAAGCATAAGAATTAAAGCTTAAGATGAGTATAAGTAGGTCCAAGAATACCTTTTCCATAGATCTTGAACAACAAGTTTCTCCAGTTTCTTGGAAGTGAGATCAACCTTCAGCTTTGGTGTTGATCTCTGAACAAATCCAGGGATCTTTTTATTAGAAGTTGATGGTTGGTTAGTTGAAGTCTTAGAAGGAGTCTTCTTCAACTATTGGTTTTCCTGGCCTTTGGAGGAGTGCCAGCAATGGATTTAGCCTTGTCTAAACGCTTAGAACTCTTAGAGTTTCCTCAAGGATAGGTTTAGACTCAGATATGAAAGAACACGTTCTTCTTGGTCTGAAGAGTATCCTAGACCACTTTTAGCTATACTAGGAATCTGAGCATTTATGATCTCATTAGCTTTAATAGAGACTTTGCACCATCCTTCGGTGGTAGCCTTTTCAGCTTTCAGTTCAGCAATAGCATGTTCATGCTCAGTGATAGCTTGCTCACGCTCTATGCTGATTGTTTGTTTTACAATGACTTGATCCTTAAGACTTTCTTCAATCTTAGTTAGTTCTTTGATCTTTAAATGACATTTTTCAAGTTGTTCTTGTAGATCAAGATTCAACTTTTATGCTTTGATTTTGCCATTTAGTGCCTTGTAAAGGTCCTTAGTCAACGTATAAAGCATTGAGAGACTAGCAGTGACATAAATAGAGAGAGAGAGAGAGAGAGAGAGATCATTAAGAAATGATACTTGAGTAGAGGTTAAAGAATTAAGAATCATTTGAAAATTAAGTTTCACATGGTTCATCTTTGACATCTTTGATGTTGGCCATGAGACAGAGGCAGGCGTTGTCTTCTTAGAGTTGGAATATTCTCATCCAACAGTCTTAAGATCAACGAGTAGGCAGTTAAAGCGCTGATGTACCTCAAACAAAGATTCATTTTTTCCACATGGAACTTTCATATTGTCGCACCAAATTAATCTCTCGTGATTCTTGTACCTTGATGGTACCTTTATATTGAACACAAAGTGTGTCCCACATTGATCTAGAGGTTTTAAGATTCATAATAGAATTATCTACCTCATCAGGGAATGACATGGATATGATAGATCTGGCCTTTGTATCAAGAGCCATATACTTCTTATCATCATCGCTTCATTGGTGAGCGAGCTCTGAAATCTGCATTTCAGGGATGGCAGCAGGGGTAGCGGTGGTAGAAACCGCTGATGATATTGCAAATGAAACATGTGGTCCATTTTCAACATAATATGGGATCTCATGATCCACACCTTCTAGAAATAAGGACATGTGATTTTTCTAGAGACTGAACTTGTCCCTGCTAAATCTTGCATGTTCGGCAAGAGAGTCATGTCATGAAAAGTTGTGTTTGTATTTTGTAATGCTATTTAGAAAGATGCAAAATGAGAGATTTTTTTAGAAAGGAGAAACACTGCTTTGATACCATTTATTGGTCCCAAAAGGGCTCTACAAGAGTTTAAAGATATAACAGTTTATAGGAGGGGATTGAATACAAACACACAAATTTTATTTTTTAAATTCATTTATTGATATGAGAAAATCAATACAAATTTACAAATTGTTGTGAGATAAGATAAGATAAAACCTAATCTAAACAATCTATGAAAATCACTAAGTAGACGCACAAAAAAGATAAAAACAAGAGAGAAGAGAGTTTAGAGGAAGAAGAAGGTGTAGCTGAGAAGTGGAGTCTTCTCAGCTATTTATACCTACTGCATTTAATGCAAGTCAGAGGGTACAAACCATGTGACAAACTTTTATTGGAGAGCTTGTCCTTTGTCTTCAGATATGCAGACTTTTGGCCGCATATGAACAATTGACCTTGCAAAGTTGGTAAGCACGTTTGAAGGTAATAAAGTAACTCTGTACATGTACTTTTCTGTGTAAGATATGAGGGTTGTCCTTTTGTGTGTATAGGATAAGACACAAACTAATCTTGTTGAGCAAGACTCTTTTGATCAGTGATAGTAAGGAGTCATTGAGGACTTTTCAGCTATCATTGAGTCTTGATTGGATTTTTCACTTTGCTGACAGTATTGTTATCACCGAGACAACTTCAGATCATAAAAAAAAATTGTCTCTATCAGCTACTTCTTTGGCATCACTTAATTTTCCTTTGAGGGATACTTTATTTTATTGACTGTTTACAATACATGTTCAGGGATCACTAAACAGACTAAGTGATGGTCGTTGAAACGAAACAAAAACAGAATTAATTATCTATCACTAAGTACAGAGGGTCATCATCAAATCACTGAGAGAATTTAGATCAACATCTAGATATTGAAACAGGTAGACACTTGCTCTGGTCACCGACTTCTTTGAATGCATAAGTGAGACTAGAGCCCGATACACTATTAGGAACACATTTATCTAGAAATTCAATGCTACCAAATCTGGTGGTATATTGTTTTTATTATCGTAGTTGACAAAGAAAACAAGGATACAAATACAGAAGGAATATAGAAAAATAAGGAAATCCCTAAAAAGTAGGAGATAATATTGATCTAGGAGATAATATTGATCTAGGAGATAAGAAAGGAATTTTTGAAGGAATCCTTTACTCCCCCTCAAGGTGGAGCATGTAAGTCTTTCATGCCCAACTTGTCGAGTAGGCATCATAATTGTTGCGCTCCCAACGCCTTTGTGAATAAGTCAACGATCTGCATTTTGGAATTAATGTGCATGGGTTGAATTTCTTGTATCTCTACTCTGTCTCGAACAAAATAGCAGTCCATTTCAACATGTTTAGTTCGTTCATGAAACACCGGGTTATTAGCAATGTGTCGGGCTGCTTGGTTATCACAAAACAAAGGTGTTGGACTGGTGGGATTTATTTCTAGCTCCTTGAGGAGCCAATGCATCCATAAGATCTCACTAACTGTGGAAGCCATGGCTCTATTATCTGCCTCCGCCAAAGAACGAGATACCATAGATTGCTTCTTAGATTTCCATGATATAGGAGCACCACCTAAAAGAAGAAGATACCCCGTTCTGGATCGCCTGGTATAGGGACAACCGAGCCAGTCAGAGTCACAGTAAGCAACGAGTTCGGCGCCACTGTTTCATGGTAGTAAAATGCCTTGTCCCGGGGTAGCCTTAAGATATCGTAAAACTCTAGTTGCTGCATCCATGTGGTTTTGTCGTGGATCGGCAACAAATTGACTTAGAACGTTTACAGAGTACGCAATGTCCGGTCTAGTAGCTTGCAAGTACAACAATCTTCCTACCATCTGTCGGTATTGGTTAGCATCGACTTGTGGCTCCTCCTCACCTTTATCCAACTTCAAGTTTTGCTCCATGGGAAAGGTACTGGGTCGACAACATTGCATCCCGAAATCTTCCAAAATGTCTAAAGTATATTTCCTTTGACTTAAGACAAGTCCATCACGCGTTCACGCTACTTCAATTCTATGGAAATACTTTAGCTCACCAAGATCTTTAATGCTAAATTTCTCGTCAAGATGGGTCTTGGTTTGTTGTATTTTTACCGGATCATTCCCTACGATGATAACATCATCTACATAGATGAGGGCTGCCACAAAGGTGTTTTGTTGTTTGTATGTGAAAAGAGAATGATTTGCCTTAGATTGTTTGAAACCAGGTGCAAGCAGAACGGTGGTGAACTTTTGATACCAATTTCGTGAGGCTTGTTTTAAGTCGTACAGAGACTTTCAGAGTCGACAAACCCGGGTTTCATTTTTCTTGAAGAAGCCTTATGGAATTTTCATGTAAACTTCTTCGTTCAAATCTTCATGCAAGAACGCGTTGTTTATGCCGAGCTGGTGAACAATCCAATCTCTTTTGGAAGCCACAACTAGTAACGTTCTAACAGTAACTAACTTTGTAACCGGGGCAAAAGTGTCATGACAGTCTACTCCCTCCATTTGTGTGAACCCTTTGGCAACAAGACGGGCTTTTGTATCTCTCGATTTCTCCGTTGGGCTTGTATTTTATCTTGTAGACCCACTTGGAGTCTATGGCACGTTTCCCTTCAGGTAACATTTCGAGAGTCCATGTCCCATTTTCTTCAAGGGCTCGTATATCTTTCTTCATGGCTTCTTTCCATTTATCATTCTGCATGGCTTGTTTGAAGGATTTTGGCTCATCATTTGAAGTGATGGCTGCTAGAAACGCTTTGTGAGAATTAGAGAACTTATCATATGAAAGAAAATTAGCG